GGGGGGGGGTGGGGTAGCACATATATATATATATATATAGACATATATATATATATATTCACGACCGGCACTCGTCTCGATTTAGAGCATCTTTATATTGGTACTGCAACAAAAGCACACGAGCATAGGTTCTGCAAGGGTGCTGCCAGTCATCTGTCCTTTTTCCTAGAAGTTAGAAGTTACCTGTCATCGCAAAGCTATTCCTATTGTGGATGCTGTGATCTCTGGCGGACACGAAACCTGTCCCGCGTATACTGTGGTCATTGCTTTCGATGCTGCTTGGAGAAATCAAGCTGAATCCCAAGTTAAAGCGACTCCTTGAAGCCTTGAATTGAAGCCCAAGTCCCTAAAACCCGTAAGTCCGAAATGAAGGGAAGCTCGACAACACCGAAGCCAGAAGCCGAGACCTCTGTAAGTAGAACTTGTGCGTCTTATGGTCATTATACTTGCAATGCAACGTGGCTTCGAGAAAGTTGGCTGAGAGCATCGCGCTTGAGCTCTTCCGCATCAGCTTTCCACTTCCTTACCGCCTAGCAGAGGAGCGACCATCCAAGGGCTAAGGATTCTGCAGGAGCGTCGAACGCTTGCTTCCCAACCTGTAAACTACAAACACAGAAACACATGTAAACATTGATATGTATATATATATATATACGGTCATATATATATATATATGCACTAATACGAGTACTACGACTACTGCAACTACAACAACTACTACTACTACTACTACTACTTCTTATACTACTACTACTACTACTACTACTACTACTACTACTACTGCTACTACTACTACTACTGCTACTACTACTACTACTACTACTGCTACTACTACTACTCCCACTACCACTACCACTACCACTACCACTACCACTACTACTACTACTACTACTACTACTACTACGACTACTGTACTACTACTACTACTAATACTACGGCTACTCCTGCTCTTACTCCTACACCTACTCCTCCCATTACTACTACTACTACTACTACTACTACTACTACTACTACTGCTACTACTACTACTACTACTCGTAATAGTACTAGTACTAGTGCTAGTGCTAGTGCTAGTACTAGTACTAGTACTTACTAGAACTAGTACTAGTACTAGTACCAGTACTAGTACTAGTACTAGTAGTAGTAGTAGTAGTAGTAGTAGTAGTACTACTACTACTACTACGACTACTACTACTAGTACTAGTACTAGTACTAGTACTAGTACTAGTACTAGTACTAGTACTAGTACTAATAATAATAATACTACTAATACTACTAATACTACTA